GGATCTGCACTGTCTCTCTTGGTCTCGAGGCCGTGCATCTTAGTCATTGCCTGTCCGAGCAACGTCTCGTAATTCCCGTTTCGAGTCCAATTACCCTGCCGAGGTGCATCATGGACTGTGGACGTCTCCTTGCAACCAGGCACCTGCCGGTTCTCCCCCCTGCGCTGGGTTCCCAAAGCCACAAAACAAAACATGCAAGGCACTGCTCCAGAATGGTCCATTATGATTATCAGCTAAAACAACCTGCTGCATCAACTTGACAAGCACACATCCCACTGCGCGCCTCGCGCACACGCGACGACGCACCAGTTGGGCAGCCTTTCCTGTCAGCGTTGCTTTGCGTACATCAACGTCTTCAAACACTATCTCATGATACCCATCAGGATACAATGTCATGTGTATATGCATATATATATATTACATAGAAATTGGCAAGTATCCCAAGGCGCTGTTGAGTAACGACTTATTCAACAAAGCCAACAGCTATCCAGCTCGGAAGGGTGTGATCGCCTTTGGAGTGGTTTGCTTGGAATTTTGTGCGGTGGGACCTGCAGGAGCGGTATGTCCCGGACCTGAAGCTGCTGGAAGATTGTGGCGTCATCACTCAGCCCCGCGGCAAGCACGAGCTTCCCCCCACCCCAACGACAAAGGTGAGCCATTGCTCGTTGGTGGCCACAACAGACAAGTTGGGTTGCCTTCCTGAGATTTTGTGTTTTTCTTTGGTTAGGATACGCTTGATTGTTCGCGCATCCAGTCATCCATGTTTACTCCGCAAAGGGTACGAACGCAAAGGACTCATCCCAGACAAACTATTCGATGAAGGCATGCTACTTACGACTCTCCAAGAAGAGACTGGACAAGATCGCAAGATCCGGTAGATTCCAGGTGAATCATATTTATCAAAAGCGACCCTTCCGAGTATGGCAGCAAATCCTTGATGGTTCGTTTGTTTCCATTCCAACAGGAGGGCACAAAACAGTGACCTCGAATCCGTGCTGGACTCATGTGGGAGCAGATACCGCGCACCAGATGGGTATCATTGAATTCATGGCAGAATTTGGTTGTAGCACTTGTCTTACCTTGTGGTATGCAATCTTAGTATGTTTTTTCAGTGAAAATGGCCGAATTGTTTGAATATTTGTTTCTCCGGAATTCGGAAGACCCCCGTCTTCCGCCGGAGTTCAAACGTTGTTCTAGCCAGCTCCAGTGAGTTCTAACATTGTTGGTGGCCAGTTGATCATTTGGCAGCCTACAGGAGCTCCATTTGGAAAGCACTTTGCAAAGATGCATGACTTTTAGACCCTAGTTTTCACACACGGACACTTGCGGGATAATTTTAGGTGACCCTTCATGGGGCACTACCCCCAACCTTCAAACCACTAAAACGGTGGTGTTCCTTGTGGTTCTCTTTAACCACCCCCCAAAGCAGGGTACCGTCAAACAGCGTACACCCGTGCTTTGGGCTGCTTCAAAAGGGTACATATTATGGCCGGAAGAATGCAAAAGCATCAAATAACGCGTTCATGCAAGCACGAACACTCACTCATACACAAACAAATCACATACGCACGCACACACACACACACACACCCACACCCACACACACGCACGCACGCACGCACACACACAAACACACAAAGACACACAGACACACACACACAGGCACACACAGAGACACGCAGACACACACACACACACACACATACACACACAGACACAGACACAGACACAGACACACACACACAGAGACACACACACACACCCACGCACGCAAGCACGCACACGCACGCAAGCACGAAGGGCAGGCAGGCACGCGGGCACGCAGGCACGCAGGCGCGCAGGCAGGCACTCAGGCAGGCACGCAGGCAGGCACGCAGGCACGCAGGCACGCAAACACGCAGGCAAGCAGGCAGGCAGGCAGGCAGTCACGCACGCACGCACGCACGGACGCAAGCACGCACGCACGCACGCACGCACGCATGGGCACGCACGCACGCACGCGCACACGCACGCACGCACGCACGCACGCACGCACGCACGCACGCACGCACGCACGCACGCACGCACGCA